CCCGTTCCCTCAACCGGCCACCAAACTGGCCGGGACCGGTACCAAAATGCCCGGGCCGCCGTCCTCTTCCTATCCCAGCCAGGTCTCGCCACCAGCCGTCGGGATTTCGATGGAAAATCGAAGAAAACTGCTCGGTTTCGCCCGAAACTTCGCCGACTTCGTTCTCCGTCGTCCGGCCACCGATTCCGGCAAGTGAGGTATGGTTTCTCACCTATTTTCAGAGCTCTAGCTGCCCGTTGAGTAGGAATTGATCAATTTGTAGCGTAGGCAACTCGATTTACGAATTGGGTTTCGACCGAATTTCGAGGGGAGATTCCGGCCACTTCCGGTCCAAGAACAAAAGTGACTCCAAATTAGGTGTATTACCTAGGGTAGGAGTCTTGGCTCTCGATTTGGAAGTTTTTCGGTGATGCGATATTGCTTTGGACACCCACGCGCTGCCAGCGCGTGTGGTGGCGCGTGGGCACTGTAGCTGAGGGGCATTTTTGTCCCACTGCGATCCTCTCGATGTCACGAGCGCGTAGGTGTGCTCGGATCTCATTTTGGATACCGTTAGAGTTCCGAACGAAAATCACATATCGCGTATTTTTCGGGTTCGCTAGGTTTGGATCGTATAGGATTTGACAGATCGTAAAACGGAGTCCTGGATACTCCGGAAATGCCAACCCTAGGGGTAAGGTTTAGTAACCGTCCGATCGTGCGATCGTGAACGATCCGACAGTCCGATCTGGACCAAACTTGCAGCACGTATGTCCTAAACCTTGTAAAACCTATAGGAACTGTCAGATCAGAATTTGGAGGTCATGGGCCCCGCGGGCCTGTTTGGCCAAGTTTGGGTAGTTTGACCCTGGGTTGACCGCTAAACTTTTGTTATAGTTCTACCATCCCAGGAGGATTAGAATGACTTTAGTGACAGGTCTTGAGCGTTGTTGAGTTAAATGGTTTATACGTGAATTTAGGATATTATTATATGATTTAAATTGCGGAATTATCAGATGCTATGCCAGGGTTGAGGTTTGTATAGGAGTAGAAATTATATATTAAATTGTGTGGATGTATAAAGGTAAATAAAGCGATCGAATGTTAGTTTATAGTGCTATACGCACTACCCCACGTACCCCCTATATTGTGATCATGTTGAGGCCTTTAAACCCGCGATGGCTGGTGAGAATGTAGCCAGGCCAAAGTGAACAGTATGTGGGCTGGTGAGAATGTAGCCAAGCTTAGTGTTGAGGTCCCACGCGTCTTTGGATTAGCCGGAGTGTTGACAGACCCCGTACGTGGCCGGGTGCGTCCCGACGTATGAGAGGAGATATGATTGTGTGCGGGCTGGTGAGAATGTAGCCAGGCCCAGTGTGAGTTCGCACGCGTCTTTGGATTAGCCGGCGTGTTGACAGGCCCCGTACGTGGCCGGGTTCGTCCCGACGTATGAGGGGGGGTTATGAGGGTAGATTGAGAATGTAGCCAGGCTTAGTGTTGAGGTCCCACGCGTCTTTGGATTAGCCGGCGTGTTGACAGACCCCATACGTAGCCGGGTGCGTCCCGACATATGAGGGGAGATGATTATATGCGGGTTGGTGAGAATGTAGCCAGGCCCAGTGTGAGGTCGCACGCGTCTTTGGATTAGCCGGGGTGTTGACAGACCCCATACGCGGCCGGGTTCGTCCCGTCGTATGAGGGGTGATATTGTGATTGTGTTGAGGTCGCACGTGTTGTAGGAGTAGCTGACGTGTCGACAGACCCCATACGTAGCCGGGTGCGTCCCGACATATGAGGGGAGATGATTATATGCGGGTTGGTGAGAATGTAGCCAGGCCCTGTGTGAGGTCGCACGCGTCTTTGGATTAGCCGGGGTGTTGACAGACCCCGTACGTGGCCGGGTGCGTCCCGACGTATGAGGGGAGATATGATTGTGTGCGAGCTGGTGAGAATGTAGCCAGGCCCAGTGTGAGTTCGCACGCGTCTTTGGATTAGACGGCGTGTTGACAGACCCCGTACGTGGCCGGGTGCGTCCCGACGTATGAGGGGAGATATGATTGTGTGCGGGCTGGTGAGAAGGTAGCCAGGCCCAGTGTGAGATCGCACTCATCTTTAGATTAGCCGGCGTGTTGACAGACCCCATACGAGGCCGGGTTCGTCCCGTCGTATAAGGGGAGCCATGTGATTGTGTTTGGTGTGTTGTGAGGGATAAATCCTAGAATGTATGAATTTGTATGGCTGTAATGGTTTATTTGATATTAGGAGCCAGGATAGATACGAAAGAGCTACGTGTGGCTTGATCCCTTAGTAGGGTACGTAGGCAGCCTGAAGTTACTAGGTGCAGCCACA